TGGGAATTTCTGACCATTCTTCCAGAAGCACATTTGTGAGGTCAGACGCTGATGTTGCTCAGTCTCTGCTCCAATTTATCTCAAAGGTGCTCTGTTGGGCTGAGGCAGGATTCTGTGCAGGCCAGTCAAGTTATCCACACCAAACTCTCTCGTCCATGTCGTTATGGGCTTTGCTTTATGTACTGGTGCGCAGTCATGTTAAAATTGGAGCGGGGTCATCTCCAAACTGTTGGGACCATGAAAGTGGCCAAAATGTTCCTTTTACTGGAACTAAGGGGCCGAGTCCAACTCATACCTCACATCATAATGCCCCCTCTACCAGGCTTTACACAGCACAGTGTAGTCAGACAAGTACCATTCTCCTGGCAACCACCAAACCCAGACTCTTCCATCGAATTGCTTAACGGAGAAGTGTGATTCGCTGCTCCAGAGAACATGTCTCCACTGCTCTGGTGTCCAGTGTCGACATGCTTTACACCCATGCATCCGACACTTTGCATTGTGGTTGGTGATGTAGCTGCTCAGCCATGGAAACCCTTTCTATTAAATTCTGTACACACTGTTCTTGAGCTAACCTGAGTTGCTGTCTTTCCCATTCACTTCCAGATTGTTATAATATCATGAACAGTTAACGGAAACAGTTAATGGAATCACTCATTTCTGGCTGCATTTCTATGTTCAGCACGTCTATATATGATTTGATTGTGGCTGAGATTGAACTAAAACTATGCTCAGTTCTGCTTTTCAGGAAGTTGATGCCTCGTGCAAATCTGTACTGTGGGTTTAGAAAACGAGCTAAATTAAAATTAGCTTGTGTACTTTTGCCGCTCAGCAGTTACCCCAAACCAAGATAACCACTATACTGGCTCACAGCTTTAAAAATACAAAAACCGCTCTCTTGTTGCCCGATATATTTCAACAGTCAGTGGTTTGATCAGCAGAAAGCAGGAAAAGTATTTACTGACCTCACGAGGTTTCTGTCCCCTTTCGTCCCATCTGCTCCCTGGAGGGGCCTTTGAATGTCTTGTTCTAAGAAGACGTCACAAATCCAGAGGTTACGTTTTTAAATGGTTGCGAGCCAAATCTTCAATAAGAGCAAACATACATTTTCAAAGCGCACACAAATAGAGTTTTAAAGAGCTCACCTTGTGCTTCTTACACTTCATGGAGAAGTTTTCTTCAATGAGTACACAGTCTGCAGAACAAGAACAGAACAGGAGTTGGCAATGATGCACCGATTCATCTGAAAGGCTCAAACGCCTCCACGTGCAAGTTCAGCCTGAGCGGAAGTGATAAAAGCCAACAGCCCTTCACAAAGGAGCTATTTTCAGAACAGTGCACATGCGTGCACGCACACACTGAGCACAAAGCAACAGTCGTGGGTGTATGTGTTCAACTTTAACTTTGTACCTGTTAAAGTTTAATTTGAGACTTCAGATGTGGAGCAAAAAAAGTAAATAAGAAAAAGTAAAAACAGTAGTCAGAGGGGCAGATGGCATACATAAATCTAAAGTTACTCCATTAAAGTGTGGGTGGTGGCAAAAATTCCAATCACCAGAGGAAAACCTGCAGGGCTGCGTGCTACTGTAAGTAAATTCAACACTCAAGATAAGCCTGGAAAAAATAGACTGTATATAAAAGATGAACCTGGCCACCAAGACGTCAACCACTGGTTAGGGAAGTCCGGATGCAAAGTCTCAAGCTCAGTGTTTTGGGCATAGAAAGTGCTTGTGATGAGCTACGGATGGCTCTGACTGAGAAACCAAGAGGAACTGCATACAGTAGAATCAGGCTACGTCCACACGTACATGGGTAGTTTTTTAAAACGGAGATTTTCAGTTTTCGTTTTTTTTAAAAATCCCGTCCACACGTGCGGTTTTGAAAAAAAAATCTCCGTCCACATGTAAACACTAAGAACAAAATGTTGGCCAATCAGAAGTCTAGAAGCCTGAGAGGGAAAGACTAAACATGGTTTGTACGTGTGCAGAAAAATCTGCGTTTTCAAAAATACTCGTGCTCAATCACCAATCACAAGGTAGCCCAGCCCTAAAACATACTTCGCTTTTTTGACTATTAGAGAAAAAATGCTGTATTTAAGAAAACTTGGAACTACCAGTTAAGACTATAAAACACTCAGTAAAAGGTTTACAGATGTCACCTAGAGCCAGGGCCGTTTTCCCGCGGACTTCTACACAACTGAAAGCATGTTTCCCAAACACAGGCGCCAGCAGAAAGAATCCAAGTTTGAGGCACTTCCGCATTGGCCAGAGTCAAATATGCACAAGGAGATTACTTCAGATTGTATCACTTCCAAACTTGTCCCGCATTATCTCATTTTTATTTCATGACAAAAGTCAAAGGAGCTTGGCTGATTGGGACCCACACCCATTTTCACACCTTGGCTCAGGTGATTAGAGGATCATCAGGGGTCCTTTTGTCCCTCTT